AAAAAAATGTATTTGGAGGAGCTGAATTAGGTATTGTTGATGAGTTTGGAAAAGGTTGATGACGGAGTAGAATAGGTGTACCAATTTGTCGTTTATGTATCATTGATGATAATTCATTAGTATCATTATGTTCAAGAAATTTATTCCAAAAATCAGATTGTAGTTTAAGAAAGGACTCAAGTAATTTTGTTTGTCTATATGTTTCACCAACAATATCGCTATCGGATATATGTTTTGACGAATAACCAATCACTGCTGGACCCTAAATATAATAAATTTTAAGTTCAAATAAAAATTTATTTTTTGTATAATTTACCATTGTTCGACTTAAATTAACTATTGGCATTCGACAAAGTGGTGATGCAGCAACACGTTGTAAATGAAGAATAATAAATGCTAATGTTTCACGATTTGGTTTTGGTAATTGTTGAAGAAGTGTATCAATTTTTTGTTGTTGAATAAAGTCAGATTCTTCATCAATAATCGATGCGAAAGATTTCCATAAAGCATCTGTTAATAAAGATTCCGATAATGAACGAAGAAAATCTTTTACAACACCACAAATTAAATGTATATCATTATAATGTGATAAATCAAGTAAACCAGTACGTGATTTAAGTAATTTGTCTTTAAGTTCTTTAACTTGACCTTCAACACTGAAATTATATTAAAGAATTTCTTTCTTTTTCACACAAACAAAATTCAGAAGCAAGCGAACGTTAAAATATATTATTTATACGGTAAATAGATAAATGCTATCAGACTTCCATAATACTCAGATGTAAAATGAGTCATTCTTGATTACGACTTTTATTGTAGATATGTCACATATGGTTCGATGGGAAAAAGTTATTTTTAGCAAAAAAATGACGTAGATAATGAAGTCAACTAATATGACATTGATGTCTTCTCATTTAATTTGATTGTTCGCTTAGTTTAGTGTAAATTAAAGTCTTGTGAATCTTCTCAATTAGTTACATCATTGATAATCAGATTATTTTTGAATGTATTCATTTATAATTCTTGATTATTACCATCCTCATCTTACTCATAATTTCATTTTCTTTATGTCATACTGTAGAAAGCTCAAGTAGATTCTCCTTCTCAGTAACTATTGCAATCAAAAATTCATGTATTATTTTTTCGTTAACATACACATTTAATCGATAAAGCCCAACTTCTTGTAAGCCACGTTGTTCAATTTCTTTTATACAATGTACAAGTAAAGCTGGTACTTGTAATTGATTTGATTCTCGAGGAGTAAATTTTGATACAACACCACGATTCGGTGTTTTTACATTTGGTAAACAAAGTGTAGTACAATTTTCTTTACAACCTGTATGACATAGAGCACTACATGCTTGACAACGATAAGCTAATTTGCCAAAATGTATACGTTTAAGACACTAGAAGAAAAAATGGTACAAATTTGATAGATGTTTTTTTAAATACATACCACACAGCATGTTTCTGGTATAAGAATATTTCTTGATATAAAATTATGTGATTTTGTACCTAATGATCCAATACTACATGGACTTTTTATAATCATACCATTTGGTGTTGATGGTGTTAATGTTTTTTGTTCTAATGGCGGACTTATTATTTTTGATAATTTTGGATATATAGAAGGAGGTATATCTTGTGGTTGTTGTTGTTGATTATCATCTTGTTTTGACCAAAATATATCGTCTGTACTTAATTCTGATTCTTCTATTATAAAGATACGACAAGTTTATTTTTTGGAACAAAAGAAAAAACAAAACAAACCTGATTTTGTATGTAGAAATTCTTTTGATGGTTTTCGAGTTTTATGTTTTGCTCTTTTATGAACTGATATAGAATGTCGTGATGATCGAGCAACAGTTATATTTGCATAAGGTGATGTACATAATTGATCAGTTTCTTGTTCATTATTTATATCATTTTTATTGGTAGTTTTTGAATGAATAGGAGTTGACTAAAAAATTCTTTTTGTTAAATTTATTTTAATCAAATAGTAAAGATTTACCCCATCATTTCTACTAGCTGTTCGTTTAAGTACGCCGATACCTGTTGATTGACTAACAATTTTAGGCATATGTAAATTATCATTATCAAGTTCATCTCCAGTACAATTTTTATCGGATAAATCTCCTGTTGTTTCACTATCGGATATAATAGAATCTCTAGGAATAAACAAAAAAAAATATATCATTAAATTATCTTTTCAATTGAAAAATAATACAAACCGAAGTATATCACGTAATTGAACATAGGGATTTTGTTCAGTGATTGTACCTTTTATCTGATCTAGACATCGTTGTAATTGATTAAGACGTTCAGTATTTCGTTTATTATGTTGAGTTAAACGTAAAATATGTGAACTTAATTTAAAAAAAGAAGATAAATAAATAATTTTTAAGAAAATATAATTCGAAATTACCTTTGAGATTGAATTTTTTTATCTTTACGTTCGGATTCTATTCTATATTGTTCAACACATCGATCTAATTGATCAGCATATGCACGTAAATCAGCATATTTACGACGAAGTTCATTATGAAATGTTAAAAAAGCATTGAATTCTATAGAAAATAGGAAACAAAAATTCAATAGACAATTATTTTAAGAAAAAATAATTTCAACAAACCATGATCACAACTACGCTGTGCTAAAAGACTATTTCTTGTAAGTACATCTTGATAGGTAAGTAGATTTTGTAATCGTATTTTAAAATCCATAGTCGTATTCGTATCCATTATTAGTCATATACGACAAAAATAATTCAGATAATGTTTTTAAAAAGTAAATAAGTCGAGAATATATACTTAAAGGAAGAATCGATTTAACCAGTGGATCTTTGTAGAAAGTAACCAATAAAAATATGAATGTGGAAAGAACGAATATATATATATATATGTTCGATTCATTTTACTTTGAACAGTTATGTAGTACTAATATATATAATAGCATTCAGAATAGTTTACTTATAAAATAGATGGCGTTTTGTTTTTTAATTTAACAGTACAAATTATGGAATTAATTAAAAAATAAAGAAAGATAGTATCAATGAATATAACAGATAGATTGAAGAACAAAATGTTTTCAATTTCGTTCATTGTAAATAAAACTCATGATATGGTGTCCGTCGAGCGACAATCATATCAGCGAAAAAAAATGCGCGAAAGTTATAACTGCGAAACATCTTTCGCCCTCACTCACACTTTTCGTCCATACCCTCATCGAGGAAAATCATTTCGCTAAATTGCCTTTCGCTCTTTTTATTTCGCTGAAAAGCCTTTCGCTCACTAGCCCTTATACCTTTAATTGTAATCAATTGTTTGTGTACTAATATAGTCTAAGGATATCGTCGATTTTTTTATCTAGGTTTCTTTTTTCGGATGTGCGAATTGAAATTTCAAGTGAGCGCCACGCACCCGTTAGGTAAAACAATCTTCCAAATAACAAAGTCGAAGTAGTGCGATTGATTCTGCTTGTAATTGATCTTCAACTACATTTTGTATGAATAGTAAACAAAATTCAGATTGATCTTGAGTTAATCGAGATAGTGAAAACTTATGAAATGTTATATTCTTTTAAAAATCATCGTATCGATAATTTTTTACCTATGTATTTCGATAAATAGTATTTTATTCGATTATCAATATAATCACATATACAAAAATTTAATAATAAAATACCAACTTCTAAAGTGCAATGTTCTTTTGTATCTTATTTGATTTTTTCAACAAGATCATCCAAGAACGAAACTAAAGAGACACAAATTATTCTGAGATTGCGTAAAGACTTAGCAAGGAAGGAAAAAAGAAAACAGTTACAGATGAAAGAAGAAGAAGAGAAAAAAATAATGTGAATATACGAAAGACAGACACGTCCGGGCGAAGAATAAATATCTAATAATTAATCTTTCCAACGTTTAAGTTCATCTTCTAAATCATCGATTTTATTATTTAATTCTGAACCACCAAGTCGTTGTGGAGGTGAAACAGCGTTGTTAGCTAATCTTTTACTTGTTACTTCTTCAACTTCATGATCTTCATCTTCAAAATCTTCATCATAATTTCTATAAAAGAATAAAAATATTCTTTAAGAATTTTTCTTCTTCTTCTTTAACTTACCCATCATCAAGATTATCATTGCCACCATCTTCATGTGTTAAATTATCATATTCACCTTCAGCATATTTAACCCAATCAGATAATTCAGGTGAATCTGGATCCTAAAACACACAAAGAAAAAGAATATTATTCATTTTTCATATACATATAAATAAATCGAAAAATTTACTTTCAAATTTGAAAACGGATCTTTTTGTTCATTATTCAAATATTTTTCAAGATTGAAGAATGTATCAAAAAAAACATTTGTTAATTTACAACGTTTTAAATCTTTTAAACGTATCTTATTTGCTTCTTCTGGTTTAACTAAATCAAGCATCTAAATTATTTAAAAAAAAATTGTGGATTAAAATAAGACTAAGAAATTTTCATCGTTTTAAATTTATTTTTACTTGACATATACAATCTTCAAATGGCATATATTCAATACCATAGATTTCCATTTTATGTACTTGTTCTTGATAGAAATAATCTAATTCAAACATCGATAAAATACCATCACCATCGATATCCATACAACGGAACCAGTATTCAATACTGCAGAAGAAGAAAAATACAATGCATTTGTTTTAATTAACTATATTCGTATGATGGTTTCTCTTGTCATAATATTTACCTTGTTGGTGAACGTTTATCTTCTTCAGAAATAAGAAACCATACGAATTCAGAATAAGACATTTTTCCTTCTTTCATATTTGAACTACTGTAAAAGAAGAAAAACTAGTAAAAATAAAGCTAATCAAATTAAGATATGTACCTTGATACAGCACCAGAAAATATTCGATCAATCATTTTATTAGAAATGGCTAAAAAAGATAAGTAATATTTTTATTATTTAATTTAAATAAAAAGTAACGAAACGTACCGCCATTACAATGTTTAGCTAAATCATCACGACTAATATATAAATCATGATCAGCATCTAATTCCCAAAATTTACAATAAATAACATAAAAATGTTCATATGAAAAATAATCATGTATACGATTAATATCATCTTCTTGTTCAAGTCGATCAAAAGTCTATGTACAAGAAAAATATGATATACGTATTCAAAACAAAATCCAGAATACTGCAGTCTATGTAAAAAAACTTAAATCTTGTCTAAAAAAACATCTGCTATGCAAAGAAATGATACTTTTTGACAGTTCATATCATAATTTTAATCAATAATATTGATACAAGGTTATCTGAACTCTAGTTCCGATTCAAATTTATGATAAAACCTGAATTTAAACTCTACCAAACATTTCCGCCTGGTTTATGAGGTCTCAGAAGTATTCATTATATTTCTACCAATTACTGATGTACTTGCATGGTGCTCACTATGATAAAATATAATATTTAGACCATCTTTGATAAGAAATATGAGATAAGTTTAGGTTCGAGTAGAAACTCCATACACCTTTGACTTTGAATTACTACAGTGAATGTTAATTGTTTTTTTTTCGCTTTTCATTTTGATATTTACTTAGGAAAATTTAATACTCATGAAAAATGATTTCTACCTGTAAAAAATTTGAACGTCTTAATTCTTGTACAGTCAATTTCATTGTCCATGATCGATTACAATTATAATAAACTCTTGCAACAACTGTTTTAATATATCTTGAATGAAATTCTTTTGCTTCGCGAAGAAATTTCAAACCAGGATGTGTATCTATTATATCTTGTACAAGATAATCCCAATCATCAAGCGTTAAATATTGACGATTCATTGGATATGACGTTGATGATAATGAATGAATAAGTACATAAATAAATTTTAATGCATTGTCATGATTATTTTTACATACTCTGCAAAAAAGATTTCTTTTTAAATATTTAAAAATATATATATAGATTTACTTTGTCCAAAATGATTCATATTGTGAATAGTTTATAGTTGTACTAGGTGTTATAGTTACTTTTGGACCTAAACAATCGTGTACACATGCACGAAATAATGGTGCTTTCCAATATAGACTTAAGCCGGTTAACTAAAAAGGAAAACAAAAAATAAGATAAATGTATTAGTAATAAAAAACTATACTTGAGCAAGTTTTCCAAAATCTTCTAGATGTAATTTATCATGTTTTGGTAAAAATAATTCTTCTTTAACTTGTCGTAATTGTTTGACTAATATTGTCTCATTTGTTGATGTTGCTGTTAGTTTTCCATTAGGAAAATAAAATTTCGGAATATTTTCAGCTACTTTTTGTTTTTGTTCTTGTTTAATAACTGTTGGTGTTGTTTGTGGAACAAATGAAGGTGTTGGCATTGGTCGTGAAATTTGTTCATTAGATGATACAGTTGTTTTTGTTGTATTAGCATTTGGTGAAGGTTTATTATTATCAAATCCTTCATATGATATATTATTTGTTTTTGGAGATTGATCACGAATAGCATTTGATGGTGGTTGTAAAACTGGTGTTTGTTGGGATGGTTTTGATGGTGTAGTTGTAGTTGTAGTTGTAGTTGAAGGTAAAACTCGGTTTGGACTGACATATGTTGATGATGTAGCAGATGTTGGAACTATATCAGGTTTTGTTAATTGTGGAGTTGAAAATTTCTCTGTTGTTACCTTAAATATCGATATGTAAAAAAAATACATTTCAATTCTTTCATGTATATATCACTAACAAGAAAATAGTTAATCGTTGTTTCAAAAAAATAAAATCTGAAAGTTACTACTATTAACGATGATTTATATGCCGATGTATTCTTCAATTTAGTGGATTTTCATCGACTATATCATTTGAAAATTTTCAACAAAATTACTATAAGTTTTTTTGTCAATTAGATTTGGGTTAGAAATGTAAGTTATTGTCATATATAAGATTTTCCTGCACAAAAATAAAGTTTATGAATTAGGACAGAAGCTCTTTAACTAAACTATAGATTAAAAACTAACGAAGAATATGTAAGTTTTTCTTATTAACGAAAGTAGAAATTTCTCAATCAACAAATCCAAAATTCAGTTGATCTGAAGGAGATTGCAACACATGAAATGAAAAAATAACTTACTGGTTGTTGGTCAGTAGTAGGAGTGATATTATCTGTATATATCTTCTTCGACGAACGTTGTTTTGGGGCATCATTATTATTATTATTACTTATACCAGGAGTCGTATCACCTATTGAAAAATTATTAGATGAAGTATAACGTGGACTTGAAGTTGTTCGTGGTACAGGCGAAACGGGTGGTGAATCAAAATGTTGTGATTTGGAAAATCCTCCAATACGATTTGTATAAATCTAGAATACAAAAAATATGAATAATTCAATAAAAAAGAAACAGACACTTACTTTTGAGTAAACGATAGGTTCTGGCATTTTACTATTTGTTCGAACACTATTTAATGCAGAAGATAGAGTAGTACGTGTATCGGGTAATGAAAGCCATTGTAAGAATAAATCATTAACCATCTTTGTGATGGGTATAGACGTATTCGGTGATGTCATTGTACTGCTCATTTTATTATTATTTAACTATCACAAATATATGGACGGCATTTTATCTAGAAATTAAAATGAATTCTTATTATATATGTACTTTGTTTTTCATTAGATAAATATAAAAGGCAAAATTAAAATTCATCATCATCATTATCCATAAAACGAACTTCGTCGAAATATCCATTTATCGCAATCATTATTCGTTTTTTTTCAACAGTAATCAGCCATCTAAATTTTTCTTTATACAAACTTGAAATATTTACTATTAAAAAATCAACACTTCGAATAACATGTAATAATCTATCTGGTTGAAATTTTCTACTATATAATTTACGTGTACATATTTCGAATGCAGAAGCATAAGCTAAATAAAAATCTTTATTTGAATTCATTAAGATATAACAAGATTATACCAATAAATAAAATATGTATATGATATTGTGATGATGTTTGATCTTCTTGAACTTGTATATTAAGGAGAGTTGTAGCAATAGTATGACTTTGCTTATAAAATTCTAATTCATTTTGAAATTGAAATAATTCAAAAATACTGATTTGTTTCTGATAATATATTTTAATAGGATATTTATTTTTTATCAATTACTTCTTTTTTGTCATACATCGTGACATTGTTAAGATGTTGTTTGTTTCATTAATGATATACCACGCAGTACATTCGAATAAATCAGGGTCAACTCTCTAGATATATTAGAAATTATTTTTCAAACTTTTATTTCATTGTATTTCTTACCGAATTTTGATTTTATCATGTGCTGCTTGTAAGACTTCAAGTATTTTTGTAGCTGTTCAAATACAATAAAGAAATAGTGATAAATAATAGTAATCAATATTTATATATTTCTCTTTTAACACAGTACGTATTCAGTAAAAGATGAATGAAACAAGATCGTCAAAGATCAAATTTAGTTACCAGGACGATAAGCATCTTCAAGACCTTTGCGTGTAAACGATGGTTCAAATCAAAATCATAAATTGTAGCATGAAATGGTATTGTTTTACTAGGTTGAAAAGAAAAACAAATTATTAGTTCAAGATAATTTTTTTGTTTTTAAAAATCGAATATCTCTAATAATAACAACATTCTCCACTAGTGTCAATATCAAGTCATATGATGCTACCTTTTTCATAGTTCTCTATATTCATCTCAAAACAATCTGTTGTGTACCTATGCTTATCAAAGTCTATAGATATCGAATCACCAAAAAAAAAAGTATCAATTGAAGTAGTTTATTATACCCAGTCTGAATACTTGCGGTAAAGCAGGTGAAAAGCGATAAAAATGCTCGTTTTTATCAAATGTTTGCTGTAACCATTATGATGAATAATACCAATCAAGTTTTTCATCATATTGAAGTACATATAAACAAATAGGACCTTGTGTTTTAGGTAATGCACTGATAGTTGGATAAGCGGTTGTATTAACAAGATCAATATTTAATGAATCGTTTAATGTTGATGTCATTTCTTGATGATTCAAATATTTTTCATAATGAGTTTCATAAATTTATATTTTGATTTTTTATTACTAACATTTGAATTAATCAATAGTACAGCTAGTGATTCATTTAAACAAATAATAATCATTGAAAGTGTTGAGGGAAATGCATGTAATCCTGATAAATAATCATTTGTTATTGAATTTAATCGATATTTATTTCTTTTGTAAATGTAGCCACTTTATTACATAAATGCATCATTGATAATGTAGTTGAATTATAATTAATATCTTGCAGAACAAAAAAGAATATATTTCTTATTCTTGTTCTTGAAAATATTATTCATTATAAGAAGATACCTTTGAATAATTGATTCATTAATGTTGTTTTTGTTCTTTAATAAATTATTAATTTTCATCATTATTATCGTTTTAAGTTTTGCTGGCATTTGTATTTAATTAGTAGAGACACTTTGATTTGTTTTTTTTCCTTGAGAAAGTGTAAAAAAATCCTTGCACATATGACTGTACCAAATAATTTTTTACCTATGACTACAAATAAATCATAGTAATTAAATTGAAAAAAAATAAAAAAACGAATAAATTCTTTTATGTTACATTCTTATATTTTAGACATCAAAAATAAAAAAATGTGCATAATTATAAGCATACGAAGGCAATCATGCGCAGGAAGTAGTATACATGAAGTCCTTCATATTCTGTTATTTAGTTTATAAAAGTTAATATTCAAACGGTCATATTTGTATGATTTATTTTTAATATAGATTGATATCTAGTCGAAATTACTATTTGATTTTTTTCATCATAAAAACTGAAAGAACGAAAAACAACATTGTTTCTAAGGAATATTTTTTGCATCATTTTTTTGTTGACATAATATTATTTTTTTTCTCTTTGGACGTACCTGGAGGCATATATAAACAGTCATTTGGTTGTCGATATGGAAGACATTGAAACGAATGCATCTGAACAGATTTTAAGGTCGTAAAAATCCAGTATTAACATGTTGCTATACAACATCCATGAAATAATTTCAAGGCAGTTTTACAAAGGTACAAATATAGGAAAGAAAGAAAAAAATGTGAATGAAGTGTGACAGACAGATGCGTGAAATTAAAGAATTTTTCTCGTTTCTTATTGGTTTTAAATAACCAACAAAACCGTTTTAATGATTGATGTCGCTCTTAAACGATATTTAATACTCATTTCGATCAATATGTCGCATACCTATATCATTTTGTACATTGAGATTGCATTCTTCGTCTTTCTAAATTGATGGCTGTTTGTGATGTAGTACCAAACGTACAGAAACCTATAAAATAGAGCAAACTCATAACATATACAATATGACTATATTTGAAAGTTTGCATTTATGATTTAAATAAAATATAGTGAGTGAAAATATCAAGTTTAAAATATTTAGCTGCACAAATACATAATAGTTTAAGTGCTCAAGTTAATTAACTTTTTTGGAAACATACTTGTACTTAGTTATGAAGCTAAGGATAAATATTTATTTAATAACATAATTCTTAACATTACACTTAATCAAAAATTTTGCAATAAAAATGAACTATAGTCCTTGTTTTTATGTACAAGTAACTAGAACTTCAGTATATTCACAACAGATCTGGTGAATTATAAAAGAAAATGATAATATGATATAATAAAATATCATTATATATTAATGATTTTTTGCTAATTAAATAGAATATTTTCCTAAATATTTATTTTGAATAATAAATAATCATTTTTAATTGAATTTCAGCTAAAGGCTAAGCTGAAGAATTCATGTATTGTAAATAATGATATATTTTTTTAATATAGAATAAAATATGAAAGCTATAATTGAAACTAGATTGAACATGTGCTCTAATCTCTATAAACACAATATAAATTTTATTCGAATAAAATAAAATTTCCTCATTCCTATATCTCAGTGAAATCAGAAAATTTTCTTTTTAAATATTATGACCAGTAATAATTGAAGGATTATCTTTGATCCGTAGAAATGAAATGACATATAAAATTTTTATTTCTCGTATTATTACACACATATGATGCAATTACTCTCCAGATAATTGAATCCCTAAAGAATTTCATTGTCTTATATTATCAACTAAATTGTACAGAATAATATGAATTTTATCTGTTTCGAAACAAATATATCGTACATATTTTTTTATATGTACGAAGAATTTTCTAAATAAGATGTCGCTATCAATTAATAGATGTTTTTACCATTTCTATTTATTTGTTCCATTGAATATAATATTCTATGGACTGTTTGCGTTTAACGCCCACATTATATTTTTGTCGTTTTTCTCTTCGATACATTTACTCGACTAAGATCTAAATAAAGGAAAATGTCTCTTGCCACACGATCTGTTACACGTATTTTCACATCATCAATTCGAACGGTATTTTGCTATAAAAATAGTCATAGAAAATTATATTCTTTATATATGTATAGAACAATCTTGCTTGTGTACAATCAAAATGTTTTTCATCAACACAAGCAACCGTACGTTTACATTGTTTTTATTCTATAATATATACATATATTTTGTTTTTCTTTTTGACAAACATAGGATTTAAAAGAAGTTCTCAAAGATCTCATACCAAAAGAACAAAAACGCGTAGCTGAATTTAAAGCTAAAAACAAAGATGTACCACTTGGCCAAGTGACTGTTGATATGGTAATGAAAATAAATATTTTTCGTTTTTTATTTCGAATAAAATCTTTTTTTAAGATCTATGGTGGTATGCGTGGTATTAAAGGTCTTGTCTATGAAACATCAGTATTAGATTCAAACGAAGGTATCCGCTTTCGTGGCAAAACAATAACTGAATGTCAAGCAGAATTACCAAAAGCTAAAGGAGGTGACGAACCATTACCTGAAGGTCTCTTTTGGCTTTTAGTTACATCACAAGTACCAACTCAACAACAAGTAAAAAATTATATATATTTATATGAACAAAATGAATATTTTTCTAACTTCTTAGGTTGATTGGGTAACAAAAGAATGGAATAATCGTGCTGATATTCCTCAACATGTTGTAACTATGTTGAACAATTTTCCAGCACAACTCCATCCAATGTCACAACTTAGTGCTGCTATTACAGTTCTTAATCTTGGTTCGAAATTTGCTAAAGCTTATTCCGAGGGTGTACCGAAGTCAAAATATTGGGAGGTCAGTTTGAATTGAAAAATTTGATAAACACTAATTTTTAACAGTAAAATATAACCACATTTTTTAATAATGAAAAAACGCTTGAAGGCAATTCATGTCATTCAAAACAGCACTTTAGTAGAAAAAATAAATGAATTATTTTTACGACTAATGTATTTCAATAGACTTGATATTTTCGTTTCATATACAGATTTTAAAGTTCATATCTGTTCATAAAATGTGAAGCATACGAAATAGAATGATGATTTATTTTATTGAATGTATGTTAGCGTTAAACGTGAAGTTATCTAATGTCTTCTAAGATTTTTTCAAATGATTACGCTTTAGAAAATCATAGTCAATATAAATCCGTATTTTATTTCTAGTATGCTTATGAAGATTCAATGGATTTAATTGCTAAATTACCAACAATTGCTGCTATTATCTATCGAAATTTATATCGTGATGGTACAGCTGTTGGCGCAATTGATTCTAAAAAAGATTGGTCATGGAATTTTGCAACTATGTTAGGTTATGATAATAAACAATTTGTTGAATTACTTCGTCTTTATTTAACAATTCACAGGTAAATCTAGTTCGTTTGTTTTGTATCATTAATAAAATTTCTTTATTTTTATTTTCATTTAAATTAGTGATCACGAAGGTGGTAATGTTAGTGCTCATACAAGTCATCTTGTTGGTAGTGCACTTTCAGATCCATATTTATCAACTGCTGCAGCTATGAATGGTCTTGCTGGACCACTTCATGGTCTTGCCAATCAAGAAGTATTGATCTGGATAACAAAATTAGTTGAAAAATTAGGTGAAACACCAAATGAAGAACAAATTACACAATATATTCATGATACACTTAAAACAAGTGTTGTACCCGGTTATGGACATGCTGTCTTACGTAAAACTGATCCACGTTATACATGTCAACGAGAATTTGCACTTAAACATTTACCAAACGATAATATGTTTAAAATAGTTTCACAACTTTATAAAGTTGTACCAAAAGTACTTGGTGAACTTGGTAAAGTTAAAAATCCATGGCCCAATGTTGATGCTCATTCAGGTGTTCTCCTTCAAGTAAATTTCATTAGTTTTTCAATTGAATGATTGTTCATTTTTCTATTATTTTTTTTAGCATTATGGTATGAAAGAAATGAACTACTACACTGTTTTATTCGGTGTCTCACGAGCACTTGGTGTTCTCTCACAAATGATCTGGTCTCGAGCATTAGGATTTCCATTAGAACGACCAAAATCATTATCAACTGATGGTCTCATGGCTATAGTAGCTGGACAGAAGAAAGCCGGCACAGAAGCAGGACAAAAAACCAAAGCTGCTTAAATAATTATACTCAAGTTCAATAATCACTCCCAACCAACCACGTGTGGTATTACTTACATGACCAAATTATTTTTATTTTTTTCGATTATCTCTATTTCTTTCGTGTCTGTTTCTCTCTCCTGCTTCTCACAAACATCAGTTATATTGAAGAATACCTTCTTCGTTGTCGTACTATTATTACTTTAGTTAAAATAAAAGAAATAGGAAGAAAAAAGAGTAAAATATCATATTTATCTTGTCTATATGTTCATGTAAAACTTAATGGTTCATGTCAAGAATGTCCGCGGACGAAATGTCCTTTTGTTTTTCGTCCTTACATATATATTTATGTGGAAGAACGAAAAACAAAAGGTCAATTCGTCCGAGGACATTTTCTAAAGTACATTCTTGACGGATACCTAGAAAATGAAGATTTCTCAAACTAGGTTTTATTTTAATTTATTTGAAACAAGCAATTTCTAGCCTTAGGGTTATTGAAAGCGATTAGTGCAAAAAAAACTTTTGTTTTTGTTTTTGATTGAATAATTCTGTATAGTCAAAATCAATATTTATTCATGGATAAAGATTGTTAATCTGCGGTGACGTTAGTCGCACGTGCGTTTTCTTCGCTAGATTTATCATATGTTTGCTAAATAATCGAACATTCATGAGCAAATATTAGAATATATGACGTAATCTATTAATTTTAATGGCCAAATAGAATATGAATTATTTTATCGGATACTTTCAGAAATAAAAGACACTTAAAGAATATGAATATTTATTGAAAAAATTAGAGATTTATTTTATATAAAATATAAGATTTTTGAAGATTCCAAAAAAAGAGAATGTAATTTTAATTATTAAAATAGTCATCACAGAAAAAATAAAAAATAATTATTCATCATCAGACTTTTGGACAAATTTCAACAACACCAATCATAGATGGATTATTACTTTTTACAAACTGTACATTTGGTTCAACAAGTATAATATTTGAATTTAATGGATCAATTTTCCATTTTAATACTGCATTCACAGTTACATTATAACCTTGTTGTGGAAATTGTAATGGTGGAATATAAATTTCAGTAGGTTCTTTTATTGCTGGATCAATATAATATGATAAATAAAATAAACGTTGACTAGCTATGTATTGCATAGCAAGAGGTTTGCCAGAAATTGCGCGAGCATAAATGCGTGATATACGTTTTATTGCTGATGTATGACCAAAAATATCACCCCAATAAGCCCATGATTGTAAGAATTGATCGGCAGCATCTAAACCCCAATCAAGTTGTTCATCACATGTTGATGAACCATCACAACCACCAAATTCAGTTAAAAATGCTGAGCCACCTAATTGAGCAAGATCAGTTTGTACAGAACGAAAAAGTGCTGGACCTTCAACATCATCACATAGTAGTCGATCAAAAACTGGTATTGTACTATTAT